CTGCTCGCTCTGGGACTCTGTGAGTATGGACACAGGCTGGTGCAGCCCCATCATCCAGAGGGGCAAGGAAAAACCTTCCACTGAATACAAGAAATTTGGTTAAATAGTTACAGTGTGGGAAATAGCAAATAAAAAGGTCGACTTTGAGATGTGCTCAGTAACTGTGGAGGGAAAGGCGGCATCACCTCAGCTGGCACAGGGCAGCCAGAGGGGTGGCTGCAGCACCACGAGCACCAGGACGGGAGCCTGGTCAGACAACTGGTTGTGGAGGGGAGGGAGAAGGGGGCAATAAAGAGGGTTTAGCAGTCAGCGCTTTAGGGAGTCCCTTCAGATAAGCTGGGAAGGGATAACATCCCTGAGAAGGCAGCTGGAAGGGCAGCAACCATCTGTAAAACCCCCATGGCTGATTGCTGAGCACCCTCCATGCACGATCCCATCAAGGACTCCAACAAAACCTTCCAGTCATCCAGACACCATGGTCCTCCTTTGCATTTGACCTCACAGTCTGAGAACAGGAAACCAGGTTTGCTCAGAGGGGCCATTGGCTCTTCCTAAGCAGTTCCAGCAAGGATTTCTCTCCTCCAGGCTGCCTCGGGATCCATGGCCAGATGTATGAGATGAAGATCAGGTTTCGTGACACCATCACCCAGCTCCGGGTGGGACAGCGGCTGGAACTGGAGTGTCAGACTGACAAGAAGGACAGTGGCATGTTCTGGGTCCGCCAGGACAAGAGTGGGACCCTTCACTGCATTCTCTTCATCTCCTCCATATCCAAAATCACCTTCAAGGGGAATCAGAGAACACCCACACGCTTCGAAGCCAGCAAAGACAACACTATCCATCGGTTGGTAGTGAAGTCTTTCACACAGCAGGATGAGGGGAACTATTTCTGCCTCAAGAACATCAACCAAAGGCTGTACATCAGCCCTGGCCTGCCTGCCTTCTTCCCAGGTGAGCAACACCTCCACCACTCAACCTCTTTAAGCTCTGCCAAAATCCCCAGCACCTCCTGCCTGTGCCTTTTTTACCCAGCCGTCTCTCCCACAAACTCCATTTCCCTGCTTGCTTCCCCAAGGCCTCTTGGGACCAACCCACTAATACTCCTGCCAGAGGCTTACTTCTTGCTGTCTCTCCTCATGGTATTGCTCCTGCCCAAAGACAAAGATGATTGGGGAGACCCATCCTCACTTCTCCATCCCATCCATGGCTCTGACAGGAGAAGAGTAAAGCAAAGTCCACCACTACCCCATCCTTTCCCCTAAACATTGCTCCCAGAAGCCCTAACAACCTCAGAGTGCTCAGGCTTTCTGAGGAGGGTGGCAGACAGAAAGAAATAAGGACTCTGCCGTTCCTTACCGGCTCTTGAGAGACCCTCCTTGGGGGAGTCACCATCCAAAAGGGGCTCTATGAATTCCACATGGGTCTGAGCTCTCTGCTGTGAACAAGAGCAGACAAACCCTGTCAGGGCTGGGAGAGCAGAAAGAGCAGGAGAGATCTGTTTCACTGTATTTGCTTACATGTTGAATTTTCATTTACAGTCATCACCACACCAGGACTCATCACCCAGCACAGCATCACTGAAAAGGACCCCTGCATCAAGACTCCAGATCCAGGTACCCTGGATGTAGGGAAGGACAGGGAAAGAGATGGGATCTGGCCCACTGATACATAGGGGGATCCTGAAAGCATTTTAGAATGGGGAGAAAGTGAAAATCCATAGAGATTTACCAGAGCCGGAAAGATTAAACTTCAATTTTTTACCCCAAGTAGGAAAGACTAAGGATGAGGAAAAAAAACATGAGTGTGTCTCATGCCTGGGCACACAGGAGGGGGGTTGGGAGGAGAGGGGTTTTATCCTTGGCAGGAGACATGTGAAAACTTTTGGCTACGTGTCTTCCCCCAAGTGCCCAGGAAAATGCTGGAAGCAGCAGCACTAAGGAAGAACATCCCAGCAGGCACAGGGGAAGCCTTTCTGCCTCACCACCAGCCTCGTGGAACACCAGGCAGGGCACTTGGCAGCTCCCTTGGCTCCAACACAACTGGCCCCAACACCAGCCCCGAGCACCTGATGGATCTTTCCCCTTCTCTATTCCTACAGAGACAACAATGAAGGAAGAGCTGAATTCCTTCTGTCACATCTTCATCTGGGCCCCCTTGACAGGCCTCTGCCTCCTGATCCTCCAGCTCCTGATGATCACCATCATGCTGTGTCAACGTAAGACTCACCAGAACCCCCTCTAGATCCACCTCTGGCCTGAAACCACAGCCCTGTCCCTCAGGGCCACGGATGTTCCAGTGATCTGCTTTGGGAGGCATCAGAGAACCAGGACACAGGCAAGGCAAGACAAGGACCACTGTTAAAATCACTGTCTGTATATCTTCCAACAAATTGCCTCCACATTTCCACAGTGACCTTCCCTTCCCACTTCAGCTCTTTCAAATGGTTTTATAGCAAGAAGGTGCAATGATCTGACTGCAGGCATCAGGGACTGTTTCCCCACCAAAAAGCCCCGTATTATGCCTGGGAAGCATTTCCTTGAAAATGTGTTTTCTCTATCGAGTGGAGTTGAATGTGGACTGTGACACAAAACAAAATTACATGTACAAACGCTGAACAGAAAACTGAGCAGCAGCGTTTTTCTGTATTTCTGTATTCCCTGTAAATTATGTTATACTTCCATTATCCTTTCAGTATCCACAGATTAAATATTTTGAGCTGGTTGTATTTCTGAGAGAGCCTACAGAGGTCAATCCTGTAGGGAAAAACGGGATATGGGTATTTAAAATCAAAAACTGCTCCAATAAGATGAACACATGTACAACAAAATTCTCACTACTGCATGGAATCTTAATGTAGGATAAACAGATCAAAATAAAACCTAAGCCATGTAAAATACACGTATTTGGGCATTATTAGCTGATGGTATTAACAGTGATGCTCCACTGTGCATTGTTGCACTAAGATCACGGTCCTGCAGCAAGATGGATGCAGCCAAAGCCCTCCTGACACTGCAGATTAATGTGTGGAAGAACTGGAAGCACAGTATCTTTGGGTTTGGCGTTTTTGTTGTTTGTTTTAGGGGGATTTGTTTGTTGTTATTTGAAAAGTCTCCATTTGAACAGGAAACCAACATCTAGGAAAAGAATTTCAACACTTACAGTGGTGATTAACCCCCTGTACGCAGCTGCACAGTTGAATTGATTTTTGACCTGTAGTTCACAATCACAAGAACGCAGCTGGTCTCTTTTCAGCCCAATGCCAAACCCAGGAGGCTCTGGGATGGCTCCTGCCTCCCTCAGTGCATCTTCACACTGATCCTCCAACTAACCCTCCACAGGGCACAGGTCACACAGCACCAGAGAGCCTCACACCTCTCGGCAGCCTAACAGCACCTTTCCTCACTCGCCAACGTGATGTGATACCCAAATAAATAAACCCAGTTCCTAAACCATTTTCCATAACTCAGCTCTGAGTAGCAGCCCCAACAGCAGTGGCACCAAAGTCAGCAGCACCTCCTTTCTGACAGACTCAGGAAAAAGGGGCTTTCTTTGTGAAGGAGTAATAAAAAAAAAAAAAAAGTAAAAAAATTAGGAAAAAACCCCACGCACACACACAGAAAACCCCCCACCTTACACTGAAGAATAATCAACAGGAAAGCCCATGTGTGCAAAGCTCCAGGAAGCATCACCCATCCCCATGTGGCAGTGGTCACCCAGAGGCAGCAGCAACGGCCCCCTCCGGTGACACATACAAGGGGTTTTCTTGGCAGGGCGGAAGCTCCTGTGGTTAGAGAAGAGAACCACAAGTTGTAAAAGCAAAGAAAACATAAATCATACCCCTGGGTATGGGGCAGTTCAGCTCACAGACCACCTTCCTTGCAAGAAACGGCTCTTCCTGAGCAATTGCAAAGAAGAATTGACCAAAAAGGAATTGCAAAGAGAACAATCCAGCAAATGAAGAACCCAGGTGTGTGCCAGCAACTCCTGTGTTTGGAGATAAATTATACACATGGATCTATGCCATGAACCATCTGTGACTCGCTGGATACGAAAATATTCTTGGCTCTGCCATCAGCATCAGATCTATTGAGTGTGCTCAAGTGAAGGATGCAGAATCCCTGCCAAGAAATGCAACCTGGGGCCTGCAGACAAAGGATGAGGCTTGTGCATGACTTCTGAGAAGAGGGAGCTGCTATGGACCCCCAGAGGGCTGGGGGACAGCAGGCTGGGGTGCCTGATCCTACCTCAGGCATGAGCAGCATCAGTCGGGATCTCTAGGGAAGTCATCGAGGAAAAATCCTTGAGGCACCATCAGGAATTGATAACTGTAAATGAGCCCAAATTCTGAACAAGAACTGAATTTCTTCAGGAATTTTCTTTTCCCCTGCATTTTGCCACAGATGCTGAGCATCATCTCTTTATCCAAGGTCACAGAATCACACAGTGATTCTGAGCTGGAAGAGACCCCCAAGGATCCTCAAGTCCAAGCCTTAGCCCTGCACAGGACCATTCCCAAGAGTCACAGCATGTGCCTGAGAGTATCATCCCAATTCTTCTTGAACTCTGACAGGCTTGGTGCTGTGACCACCACCCTGCAGAGCCTGTTCCAGTGCCTGACCTCCCTCTGGTGTAGAACCTTCTTCTAACATCCAACCTAAGCCTCTCCACATCCTCCCTAAAGAGCCACCCAGCCCCCAAAGTCAAGTGAAAGCTTATGAAGATGAGGGAGGCGTCAGATGCCCCCACAACACAGAGCATCCAGAATGTGTCTATAGACCCCTGCTTCTATCCCTTCCAGTGCTTCACTTGCCCAGTAATATTTTCTGGGTGATAAAGGATTTTGATGAGTTAAATAAGTTCCAGATACAAAATACAGCCAAGATGACCCCAGAAGAGCAGTAACTGGACTGGTCAGTTGAAGTCACTTTGTCTGTCCATGTCTGTATTTGACAGATGACCTGGCACAGGGAAGGCACCTGAGCTCCACCCAGACTCCTCAGATTAAGCACTTGCATGTTGTACAAACGCTTGGAAGCCACTCCCAGAAACCACACTCCTGCTGCTGTTTCTGCAGATTCAGGACAGAAAAGCGAATTACGCAAGTAAAAACAGTACACAAATCCTGGAAGAACAGTAAAGAGGCAGTGCAACATGACCTTCCTGTAAATAGGTTTTTTCCTTCTGATTCATCTGACATCAAATCTGTTTGACATGCAGGGTCAGCATGACCTATCCATCAGTGGATTCTCATCCTGAGCTGTGTTGACTAAATTGAATACATGTAAATTTTTGTCACGGGAGATCGATCACATCTGTTTGTGCTCCACATTCCTGGAAACCTCCTGTGTAAATCAGAAACCTTGGAAAATACTGAATTTGCTCTTGGTTCTGGGGGGGACTGTGTTTGTATATTTATTTCCTCTCCCTACAACCAAATGTCTCATGGATGATGCTTAAGACTTGAACTGAGACACTATTTGCACCTTCCCCGTGCCTTTGTTTCATTAGCCAAAGTAAAGTCACAGCCATAACTTGACACTTAGTAAGAAGGAAGAAACCAACAGCAGCGTCACCGAGGCTGCAAACAAACACAAGGCAGAGGAAATGCAGGAGAAAAGGGGATCTCCATTTCAAAAGCTGAACTCGGGTAAGGTTTGCTCACTGCAGTCCAGGTCACAGCACCCACCAGCTTCATCACTGAGTCTCTGTCCCAGCCTGCACTGGGATTGTGCTCTTGCAAAATAATCCCCTGGAAAGTGAAAAACTGTTAGTTCTACAGTGGAATAGGAACTGGACAACACTTCCAGGGTTTTTGCATTTGAATACTCAGATACAGCAGGTCCTGAAAAAATTACAAGTGAGTGTGAGCCAAAACAGCAGTTCCTACATACGGGCACAGCATGACTCAGTAAGAGTTTGTAGGAGGCTGTAGACAACTCCATTTTCCCTATTTCTCTATAGGACTCCTAATTTATTGCAAATTTGAAGTCATAAAGGAAGATTAAGTCACATTTTTGTAAACCACTCTTCCTTTTTATATATTAGGACTTGAATTAAATTCAGAATAGTGATGTAACACCACATTACAGCTTTACTCACTATAAATCATTGCTGCCACACACTTTCTTTCTCTTGTTCTCAAAGTTTCGTTCCCTACACTGCAGTCTCCTATTCGCAAAAAGAAAACAGCATGAGTTGGGATGGATTAAGGAGCGTGATATCCCTCCCCACTCAAGAGACAAATCAACCTCTGAAGTGATAAGCACAGAAAGAAAAATTCTATCTTGCAGTGGGCAAACAAACCTTGCAAAGAAAACCTAACCCAGACTTACTGCATTAAACTGGGCAAGTTGGCTCTGAGTGATAAATAACTTCAACCTCGAATTTTAGCAGCAGCCATCCTGTAAAGTGTCAAGAAGAAAGAATCAAAGCAACAGGAACAGGGATCAAAAGCTCTGACTCGTTAATGGTAACACACAGTTTTCACAGCAGCTTCTCCACACGTTAATTAACCTGACTTACAAATAGGAGACTGAAATCAATACAGTGTTTCCACAGAGGAAGACTGATTTCAGGAGGGAAGATCGTTTGTTCAGCCATATGTAGCTGCAATGTGCAGTGACTAGGTCACTGCAGGAAAAGACTTAATTAAAAAATACTTCACAGAGCAGCTGAACATCGAGAGTACTAACAGGAGCTGAGGACATGAGCTTTGTGCTAATGACAGCCACAGTGCCACAAAAATGAGCACTACCTTTGGAGATCAAAAAGGCACTATTTTCATTTCCTACTATCCATTTTTAAGGTTTGATTATGTTTTATAACACAACTCAGACTTGAAACCCCACAAGAACATATTACAATAGATTTCCTAGTTCAGGGCATTTCTAAAAACTAAAACTCAGCCTATTAACAGGCATAGAACTAACACGACTAACAAGCTGCCACTACGAAAATCAAGTTTATAAATATCCATTACTTTCAGAGTGCCCATAAGCTAAACTAAAATGTTCCTACAAGCATGGTCAAAAACTTCTTGGCTTAAGGCCCATCTACCCAACTAACTGTGCTCTTGCTGCTGCAGAGAAGTTCTGGCACAGTTTGCAAAGAAGGGAGGAAACACCAGCAGCAAGCCCAGCAGAGTCACAGGAGTGGAACAGTGATTTGGATACAGACAGAAATCTGCTGAGTCTCTTTACTTCCCTCCCACAACACGCTCACTAAAAGGCACTTGCTGCACGCAGAGACTAGTTAAAGGTTTCACAATCTGGTCCAAAAGTGTAATGGAGACAGACCTCAGGTACCACTGCGGCTCTAAAAATAAATACTTTTTTACTGTGGATATTCCCAAACCCTATTAGGGACAATACAAAGAATAAAAACCTCAGAGTATTATTCACTTTTCCTCTGTAAGCACTTTCTCCAGTTACCAGAATCGTATCAGGCAGTAGCAGGACAGAACCCCCACCACCTCACAGGGCAAACTGGGAATCTGTGCCAACCAAACTGCAGAGCTGTTTCCCAAATGCCCACCCAGCAGAGCATCCCGTTATGATGAGCACACGAGCTCCCAATACTGAACGGTGAGCACCATCTCTTGGTGGAACTACACAACTGCAGGCAAGGGTTTTGGAGTCTGTAACATACAAGCAGATAGGAAGAGAATTGCAATCATGTGGTAAAAAACAGCTGAGCTTTTGAATTAGCTATGGATCTGTAGCATGCACTAGTTCAGGTGATATTTAATACCTAAGGTGAATTTGTACCCTATTTCCATTTAATAACTGTGCCATTCTTGGACTCTAAGCTATCAACAGTGGCTGGTGTTCACACCACTGCCAAAATACCAGCAATGTAACAGAGGAAGATGCAGCACTCATATTTCAGGCCGGTTTTGGGGAGGAGGTTGTTATTATTGGTTGTTTTTCTGTTGTTGTTGTTTTTTATTTTTTATATACTTCATATGGCATTTCTATAAATCCAAAGCATTAAGCAATTGCAGTCAACAGAAAAGATTAAAAGCAATTCCAGGAAGACTAGGAAACCTACATGGAAAATAATATCCTCACCCGTTTATTGTTGATTTTACCACTTGGTAACGCGGCTGTTTTGAACTCAGTGTGAATACAATGTAAGTTTTGCAGAGGAAAAAAAAAAAAAAAATCACACACCTGTATTTTTCACATGTTATCAAACACATCTGAAGTTTAAAATTTGTGTGCCTTGACTCGCTCCTCTTTTTAATGTCCTGTAGGTTTGTCCATTGTCACTGATCCGATAAGAGTCCGACTCAGTGTCTCCAGTCAGGTGACAGACAAATTCAAAAGGTGTAGATTTCCCAAAGACGGTCTTCTCTGTAGTGCATTTGTGCTAGTGCATTCAACCAGTGTGTCAGTGTTCAACCACAGAAGCTTGGGGTTGGTTGGTTGTTTGTTGTTGTTTTTTTTTTAACTACACAATACAGAAATATAATTTTACATGTAGCTTTGCATGCCTTATGGCTGCTTGCCCTACTATAGGACAGTGCAATAAATACAAATATATGCACACTAAAAAAGATTTAACTGCCATGATCTACGTCTCCGTTATGAGTACAAATTTACCTAGTCAACAATATGACAAATTCAGCAGAAAAAGTGGCAATGGCAGTAATATTCTACTACAAAAACAAGGCTAGAAGCAAAGTGTTCTCAAGCTACAGAAAACTTGCTACCTCCTAATATATGATGTAGGGCCCAGTTCTGCCAAGTGCAGAGTTGTGATCAGTAGGTTGCATCAGAACATGCTTTCCCCCCATTTAACAATGAATACTTCTACAATTTATTTGGTTTTGATAACTGTTTATAAATAGCACACTATAATGACTATTAAACTATACAGCAACATGACATTTATAGCCTAATCCTGAATACAAAGTTCAAAGAACATGACTACAAAGGCCAGAGAGCAAATGTCATCGACTAAAAGCATTTCCACTTCAGAATTTATTGAATGTTCTCTTACACAAACACTTCTCCATCGTGAAACCAAAGGAACAGGATTTCCTATTCCCTCTCTGCCCCAGTAGTAGTTTAGCCACACATCACCCTTATAAATTAGTGATGGATTTTAACAGGTAGCCCCTTGGGGCTATATTTTATATACTTTATATATATGCACATTTACTTTGAATTCTATGTAAAAGTTGAAAAAATGTTTGAAAGAAAAACTCAGAATATATCACAGCATTTTCAGCGAAAAAAATACAAATTAGTTTTATAACGACTATTCAATTTATCAAACCTTTTTTTTTCTGAAGTATTTACCTTTAATTATGTACACATTACAGGAAATAAAACTTTGTCCACAAACATTCTCTAAGATGACAGTTATCAATAAAATGATAGAATAATAGCAGGAAGAATATTAAACAAATGGGGGTGATCAATTTCTGCCTTTAAAAAGTAAAAAGTCACCATTAATTAAGTACAAAAACCTGCATTGAATGACAACTGCTGGTGTAGTAACTTGATCAGGTATGGAGACCAAGAGTATAGTAAAGCCCTATGGTAATAATATTTCTGTAGCATTTTCACTTGGTATGTATATACTAAATGTTGGCAAAGTTTCTGTAGCATTAGCTTATACAAACACAGGAGTCCTCAGTCTGCTGCATAAAAGGGAACAAATGTGTTTTAATTCTCCTGAAATGCACCTGAAATCCAGAGTGTCACTTACAAACTGCATAATGAAACTTTTCTTCAGAAAAATATCTGTTTGGCATCTCCAGGGCTCTGTTCCATTGGACAATAGGGGCATTTTAATCTGGGGACAAAAATAACGTGTTAGAATTGGGGCAATGTGTGACAACTGAGCATTAAAGGTATCGAGTTTTACCACTGTAGCATGAAACAAATGCATTCTTAAGCCACAACACTTTACTTGGCTCCACTGAAAGTCACTTTTAGCTGAGAGAGACCTTATGATGTTTTTCTTTCTAGTCTTTCTCACCTTCCACCCACATGCCTCTGAATTATTAGATTAATCATGAAGAGGAATTTCTTCGTAGCTATTATTTCTACTTCTGGATTCTCTTGTTGTATTTAGAAGTCATAGAATGGATTGGGTTGGAAGGGACTTAAAGACCGTCCAGTTCCACCCCCCTTGCCATGGGCAGGGACACATTCCACTAGACCAGGTTGCTCAGAGCCCCATCCAGTCTGGCCCTGCAGTAATTTTAGATCAGTTGGTGGCTTCCCTCAGCACCCAGTGCATTTTACTGTCTGGTTCTCAAAACGCTGTGATTTTACAACCCATTTATATCAGCTCCTGCAGGTTATGACTGAAGACCTCAGCCTGGCCTCCCTGCTGAGGTCTCCAGTGATACAATCCTACTTGCTTATAATGTCTCTTCTAGCACTGGTCCATTTTCCCCCCCATCTCTCACATTTGGGCCTTTTACCTTTTCCACCCTCACCCTGAGTTAATATTGTCAGAGCTGTGCTGTCACTAAAGCTGATCAATGAAAGCATCAGGAATGAGTAATGGGGCACAGGAATGATAGAGCAGCAAGTTTACTGGCTTAAAATGGCTAAAGTCACCCAGAAAGGCATCCCTTCGGGCTTCTCCAACAGGGCACAGAACACAAACATCAGTCAGCATTTTCATTCATGGCCTCACTTATTTTCACACTGAATTTCCCAAAACGACTTACAGCTCTAAATTAAGCTGACAGCCTCCACAGAAGCTGCATCTATTGCATCCAAACAACCACCAGTTCTTCCTCAAGAAAATCTGTATAGTTTTCTCTCTCCCATTTTCTGCTTCCCAAAAGCCTGCAGGCACGCCACACATATCTGAGGAGTATTTTCACAGTGATAATTCCCCTACCTGCTCAATTACTAAGCTGTATTTCCCCAGAGGTTTGATTTTATTTTTAAGGGATGTTTCATGCATTACTAACCTTGCTCCCCGGGAAAAACTGTGTGTGTAAAGGCCTCCATTCTGAATTTAAGACAATACAATGGGACTTATAACTTGAAAAATTACTCTGCTCATTAAATTCTTTCACATAAACTCGCTTTTCACAACACCAGAGGGTTTATTATGTTTTTCTCCAGCGCATCAACCTGGCTTATCTGGCTTTTAAACCATTCTCCAAGATTAACAACCTTCCACTGATTATGTAATTATGGACTCAGTTTTCCCAAAGCACAGTATTCTAGTCTTAAGATTGGCCTTTGTCTACATGTTGTTTGAAATAAAAGAATGGTACTTACTTGCTGCCATTAAACATTTTATTCAAAGCGTCTCTTGATATAATATGACCACAGACTAATTTCATAGGTGGATTATTATCTGTTGTTTGCTGACGAAGGATGGGACAGGCAAATATTGAATGATACCAGCACTTTTTACCAAGGTCCACTTCAATCTGTGAAAGAAATCAACAGAAAAATTTATCTTGGGAAACTGCATTTCCAGATAATTATCCCTTCAGGTCATGGCCCTTACTTAACAGATTTCTCACTTCGGCTGTGAAGGCAGCAAAACCCATTGTGTGGATGCCTGACAATTTCCCAGCCAAAAATACTTAACTGTGATCTTAAAATGGTGATTTATGTTGGGCATGGGCAGAAGCAACAAAGCAGAGTATTCTGCCAAGGGACAAGTGCATATGTTGGTGCAAATCTATGCCCTGGCAGGAAAACTGAGCTGTGACCCAGCAAGACTTTCTGGAAATCTGGCTAGGAAATACAAAGTGGTTTAGATGACAGACTTTATTTAAGGGAGAAAGAAAAAAAGAGAAAAATCCTTGGATTGACTACGTTAATGTTCTACAGCTTCTTGAAAGGCTCTCCCAACGCCTTCATGTCTTGTGACTAATGAAGTGGGTTAGAATCACTAATTTTCAGTACCAACACAGAAGACACTGGTGCAGCACAACTCTTGCCCCAAGAATAAAATTATTTCAGGAAGGGGCACGTAACAGAGAAAAACAGGTCTGTGGCTTCAGCAATTAACTGGGAACTGCAAAAATAACTGCCTGTGTACCTAAAGCTGCTGGCTCTGACCAGTCCTCTGTTCCAAAAGGTTTAACCTTCAACCAAACCTGACAATGTGACCTTTTCATGCTACTTAATCTCTGCCTTTGCACAATGAAAATAAGGCTTTCCACACCCCTACTGCCTCAGCAGAACACATCAGAGATCCTCCAGTTTAGAAAATGCAAGGAGACACACGTGTATTATTAACTGCTCTACATCAGACGGCAATCTTTTTCCAAATTCTCCCTAGGTAATCATTCCTATCTGGACAGCAGGGCAGGAATTTGTCACACTTGGAGGTTACATTCTCAGCATTACAGAAAACACAGCTGGGAGAAACTCAACACACATCCTTACACTATAAATGAATCTCTTCCAGCTGCAGTTGAAGAGGGTAACTCAGTTCATGCCCAGTTTGCACTAAATAGATTTCCTTTCCAAATCAGGAGCAGGTCACTGGAGAGCTGCACACGCTTGGTAAGAGCTATAAAGGGAAACTGGAGTTTCATAACAACTGAACTTCATTTCAACTGATATAAATGAGATGTGCTGGAAGCATAATGCACTGGATCCCAACTCCTGTGTCCCCAGATGCAGCACTAATTCTTTCATCTCCTGTCTGCCTGATAAAGAGCCAGTGCAAAGCAAGCCCTGGACTAAGCTCAAGCCTAGGTAGGGGAAGTTAATGTTTCCCTGTGGGATCCATTTTCTTTCCAGTTATACAGAAACAGAATAAGTGGAAGGAGAGAGCGCCTGTTTCTTTAAGGTCATTTGATCAAAGACCCTTTCAATGTGAAAGGGGATAACAAGTGAAAGGGGGAGCATCAAACAATATCCAGAGGTACAAACCTGACAAAGAGAGAGAATAGGGACAATAACAAGAAACAACCTTGACAGCCACACTAACTAAGAGGTCGTCAATAAACTCCAACCAAACCTGGACTTTGCAAGAGAGATCAATGCAAACCTGAGGGTCTCAGAGGACAGGGGGTCAGCAGTACTATACAAATTGCAGGAAGAAAGTGTGGGGCAAGGGGATAGGGAAGGAATGGTCAGAAAAAGGTATAAAGCAGGCCAATATCTGAGTGCCTGTGAACACATACCTGCTTGTGAATCTGGAGTGGTGCATTTCTGCTTTCACTAGTGGATTTCAATCTTTACCAGCCAAAGAGGAGGAAGGGACCTTGGCTATCTGTACTTATGTTTTATGCAATCCTTGTGTGTGGGTGCTGCTGAAGGCAGAGCTGTGTCTGTGGCAGCCTGTGCAGCTGGTCTGGTCGTGTCAGTGTCCTTTGTGTTTGTGTGTGGGGGTGTCTGTGAGCCCCAGGGCCCTGCAAACCCCCAGGCTGCTGGAGGTGGAGGCCATGTGTAACATCCCATAACATTCAGCACAAAAGAAACCTGAAAACAGCATTTGCCATCAGAAATCTGTCCTGGGGCAGCTCAGCATCAACTCACCGGGAGTTCGTCCTTCTGGTTCCAAACGCCCGTGCACTGCCTTTGTTCAATAACTGCCTTGATATTAATTAGAGCTGGTAATGCTACACAACCTGCTGAAAAACTGCAGAAAAGGGAAATGTTAACATAAAGTACCTGCTAGGAAACGAGCATTTTTCACATTTCTGCTTCAAAGGTTAACTGGGACACAAGAGTTTTGTACTATTTCATTCAGATCTCGTTATACCTGGAAGGAGCTCAGAAGTAGGGACAAGCAAGGGCTCTGGGGCGGGTTATCAGTTATCCTGTATTTTAGGATGAGGCCCTCAGGTACTACATTCTGGACAGAAAACAACAGTTAATCCCCCCCTCTGAGTATTGTAATAAATTGATTTTCTCTGGCACCTACTTTGACTTTGACCTGTGCAGGAGAAAGACACCACTTCAGCTCACACAAGTGGTTGCTCTCAGCTGTGGAAGAGCACGTGCAGCCTAAGAGCTTCCATGGAGCCCACACGTACACACAACCCATAAAATCCTTTAATTATACCTAATTACCATGTAAAGAAACATGTCTTTCCACCTTCACCTTAAATCAAGAAAAAAAACGTAGAAGAACCCTAGGAAGGTAAGTGAAGGAGGGAAAGCATGCCCTGTGACAAGAACAGCAGTATAAAACTGCCCAGAATCTGTGTCCCAACAGTGCAGCCTCCTCTGGGAGTTGCCCGTTACTGGAACTTACCACATCATTTGGAAATATTTCAGCATGTTACAAAAGAAAATATGACGCTGAGTTTCCAAAAAATTAACAGATGATTTGATGGATTTAAGTCTAACTGACACTACTACAGGCCTGGAAATCACCAGCAACAGAAGATTTGACATTGGTATCAGCCTGCTCTGTTTGTTTGGCAGATTATTTTACTATTTGTGCAAGTTTTATTGTCTGCAGAAGTCATGCCCTTCGTCTCCGCTCTGTCCTTCCAGATAATTGTTTCTGTATTTCTGCAGGAACATTCTGGCTGATTTACTTGGGAAGGATATGCCTGAAACCTGTGGATCTCTTGCCTAAGCTACAAAAAAAAATTTTTTAAAAATCATATCCTCACCAACTGGCCATTTCAATCCTTACACTTTGCTTTTTGGTTACTTCAGCCCTGACTGTACTTTGTATTAACCCTGTGAAAAAGTTCAGACAGATAGCATTTGTAGAAAGACAAGCATTACTGCTTTAATGGTTCTGTAAGAAAACATCTCCCAAGAGCCCTTTAAAATTGTAACAATTCAAGTAAACAGTAAATTCAAATGGTGTCCTGTAGTCCTTCAAGACCCTGAACCACAACCTCCATACTACAAGAGTTATCCCACTGTCTCCACACATAAACTCAGACCATGAGCCTGTATAGGATTAGATAAATATTGAAGAAACCAATCAGCCTTAAAAAAGTGCCCGTTGCTCATGTTCTAGAAAGAATGTATTTTATAGCAGGGATTTCACTTCACGCTGGTTTAATTCCTAAAGGATCTGTAGCACTCAAAGGTCACACCCATTTAGAACAGTCTTATTTATGACAAGAGTATTGATACCACCTATACAGTAAATACATTTCAGAGCAATCAATTCCACATCAGGAGCAAAGCAAATGTCCAACTCCTCCAAACATCAGTAACAGGGATTTTCCACTTCACTGAAAATCTCTTGGCCATTTGCACTGAAAACTGCATTGCAGCATCAGTGCACGAGCAACAAAAATGAAAAGGACTGTTGTTAATTTGAATGAAACAGGAGAAAGATGAAAGCCATAAAAGAGAGATATAAGCTTTGGATATCTATAAAAACCTCAAAATGAAACTTGTAAGTCTATTGTAGAAAGACAATCTGAAGTGTTCCTTTTGTTCTTTCTGTTGTATTTTGTGACTGAGATGCAAACAGAAGGCTTGACAATTTACGAGTTCTAAACTAAGCACAGAAGTCTAACAACAGTAAATAGAAACAGGGAAAAAAAAGCCCCCCCAAAAAGAGGAGGTAGTGAAGCTTCTGCTAAGTACCAAATCTAGCCTTGAAAGATACATATCATTTATTTTCTATTTAATGTCTGAAATAAAAATGAGAACATCAGATGGGTATATTGGGGGTATTGACATGCAAAGGCTAAATAGCAGCTAATCTGTTTTATCTTTGGAGTTCGAAGGAGATTAGGTTGGGTTTCCTTCACATTTCCAACTGCCTCCTACAGATTTGCAGTTTGTCAGGTTAGCTACTGAGCTTAAAAGTGCCTCTTTCTTCTTTGCAAATGAGGTCCAGCAAACAATTCAGAAATTTTAGCAGCTGAAATTACAACATAACTCTTAAGCATTCTTCTAAGAAGACCAGTAATGTGTGGATTAAAAACCAAAATTATCAAATGCTGACAGAATCATGGCCACAGTTCTAGGTTTTTTTTTTTTTTCAGTTAAACAGCAGGGACAGTTGTCACAATTTTGCTGAGAGTAACTGGCTGATTGCCATCCTCATCTTTCACACTTGTGTCTAAACTTCAGAAGCCAAATTCCATTCAGGAATGCTTATTCTTGAGCTGCAGTGGTGCAGGGTAAAGCTCAACACACAGGAACCTCTGATTTCTAACCTTTGCAAACCTGGTTAGAGCTAAATGTAATTATATTCTTTATTTAATGCAAGCTAGACGAGACTACTTCCCAAAGGCCATTTCTTTGGTCCTCAATAAGAAACAGAAACCAAACCATAATGAACCTGGCTTCAAAAGCAAAGGAAAAGCAGCATTACCTAACACTGAGAGGTGATTCCACTGAGAGGCCCAGGAGAGCACAGGCATCCCTTGTGAAGATGTCACAGATGTCAGCCCACTGGTTTGCATCCAACAGGTGAACGTACGGGGAGTTCTCGATGCCTTGCCGCAGGTACACCAGGCTGCCCATCAACACCTGAATGTCTGGGAGGGACCAGGAGCAGGGAGATGCTTTATGCAACAAATGAAAGCTCGTGTCTGCAGTTCTTTCACATGGAAAACAGGCAGAATCAATGACACACACCCTCACCTCTACAGGACACTCCATTCCACTACGGACTGACTGGGGAGTTGCCTGCCCCACCACAGGCAGGGTGTGCTGCCTGGGAATCTGCTGCAAACAGGTTTAGTTTTTTGTAAGCTTTCTGACACACACACACTACCCTAAAAAAATAGGCTTTATTGGATTCAGACTGAGATCATTCATTTAACTCACGTGTTCCCCGTTTTTCAAAAGTTTCACTTCTTTGTATTACCCCACGCAGCAGAAAGTAGCAGATGACTATTCCAAGAACATTTGTGTGCATTTTTAACACTTTACCCTGGCACAGACCTATTATAGATGTAACCTACACATTTATTTAAAGAGTCAAAACCCTTAATGTTAAGCAAATGTGCAAACATTCACATTTATGTGTGTCTTCTTAAAAAAAGAGAAAAAAAGACAATTCAAATCGTAAGGATTCAGGTTATATACATTAAATACAAAAATAAGAAGCCTTTAACAAACTGATAGTAATGGAGTAAGGCACATTTGGAACATGATTAATATTTTACTACAAGGTGCCATATCCCAGTGCTTTAAATCCCCTTAATGTGACCAAAACTGTACCTTTCTGATGATTTAGGGCGAATGGCTGGAAGTTTTTCGCGTACTGAAGTGCTTCTCTTTGATTTGCTGTTCCCCCCATCAATAAACTAATGAAATATAATCTGTGCAGCTTAAATTCCAACGAACTGTTCTGTGCCATGAGCATTTCTCTGTTGGATACCGCCCACCTGGAAGAAACGAGGAGGCACAATGGGACGTGACACAAGAGTAATTAAGTGTCAGCCTACACCCTATGAAATTATCACAATTATCTACCCTCTATTTCAAGGGAAGTATGACTGTTCCCTGAACTTCTGAGAGTCTCTACAGAGCAGAGAAAATGGCAGGACCTTTTACAAGTAAAGGAGCTACACAGGGCGCACAACATATGGACTGTGGTACTTCTGGTGCTGCTGTAGAGGTTAAACTCTGCAAAATTCAACACTCACTGGCTGGAAGACAAGACTAAATGAGGTGCAACAAAAGGTGGAAATAGCTAGAATCTACTGTATATAAATTAGTAACACTTGATCTTAATTTTAACAATTACTGACAGTTCTTCAGCTGCACACTGGAGAAGTTTGACCAAGCCTTTCAAGAACATTTTCCTATGTCTTCATTCAACAAACATGTTCTCCAAGCCACTATGTTTATATGTGTGCCCTGGAGAGAGGACTTGCATCTATGGGACCTCAAAGACAGACACTATCAAGACCTTACAATAGAAGGGAAGTCAGCCTAAATATCATACTTTACCCTAGATAAACTTTGCTTTCTGTGTTATTTTCAACTTGGACAATAAGAATATTTCTCACTTGTTGTGTTTCATTCACCATGACAACACTAATGTTTGGCTCCTAAATAACATGAAAGAATTCTTAAACACACATTGAGTAAAATGAACTGGAATTTTCAAAGCGTTTCATAAGAAGTTTTTTTTATTATTTAGAATTCATCCATCTCTTTCTTGTTTTTTTTGAGAAGTTCTTTGGGTGTTGTTTCAGATTTTTTTTCCTTAATTCAATTTAGTCAGGCCTAAATCAATCCAATCTCTCTCTTAAGAACCTCAAATTTCAATGTTCTCCAGTACATCTGTTTCTCATTAGTGTTAATTAGTTCTACTATTTTCACTGTGGGGGCCCCATTAAGAAAAAAGCTTTTCACTTTTCAGTAACGAACTGAGGAAGTCTCTGTTCCTCAAAAAAAAAAAAAACAAAACAACAAAACAAAACCAAAAAGGGTATGTGAGGCCTCTGTTTTCTTCAATCAATACTAAAATAAGAAAATTAAGCATCCTTACAGTATTGGTAAAGCTTTCAAAGCAAGAAGGTAGAGCATTAATGAGCAAGTATCCACTTTCAATTTGTTGTGGTGGAAGTGTCAGTGGTCTGACTTCACTGACAAGGCTTTGTAAAGACCCAGGAATCTTTCAGTAGGAAACAGTGAAAAATGAAGCCTTTGAACTAAGAACAAGCCCTACTGTCCCTAATTTCAAGCAGTTTCAGATGAGCAGCCCCATAAGACAGTCAGCACTGTCATCTCCACCAGGAGGGAAGAGCACACTCACTAACCAAGGGTTGTGAGTGAGGTTTGGGGTGGTTTTATAAGTTTTTTGGGGTTTTTTTTAACTATATTTTTATGATCAGTGTGCCCAGCTTCAACCAGGTATAGTGGCAATAAAGTTCAATCCAGGCTACAAAAACAAGAGCCTGAAGTTAACAACCACAGACTAATAAGCAGCTGAAGGACAAAAAATTATAAATAAACACTAAGGCTAGTCCACAGTCCCATCAATGAGATATTAATCTCTACTGCATCAAAAGAGCCTCCGTCCTCTCCCTGCCAATATTCACACCCACATGACAGAGTACTTCATCTTGCTGAGGCCGAGACTATTTTTCCAAATGAGCTTTTAGGCAGCCTTTCCATTTTTAGTTCTTTGAGTGGCAGCACAGATTTGTATCAAAAGAAAGCAACCACAGAAGCAAGGCCTGAGGTGTTTGGTCTGGGACACGCTGTTCCTACTTCCAACAGAAAAACAAAAAACCAGCAAGTGAGGTTTAAAACATCCAGCCCACAGACTCTCTAGCACTGTCCAAAACTGTTGGTAATCACATCACCTGTCTTCTTACCTCCTCTCAAAATGATACTTTAAGTGTTTTCACTTCTGAGTGACCTGTGTGCCCTCCTGTTTACAGACAGAGGTGAAGACAGAAAGCTTGGAACCTGGAAGTCATTCCCACCAGACCTTCACATGGAGACCCAACCTGACCTCCAAAGGGCCAGAATCCATTCAGAAAAAAAAAAAAAACCACACATGTATTTCTCCTCCCCATCACCAAATTACAGTGAGAAAAGTCACTGGAAATTAATGGGATCCTGAAGAGGTGCAGAGATGACACAGTTTAATGGTGCAGGGCCAGACTGGGCATCTACAAAAGTCAAGCTGCACAGCCCACAAGGGAAAACAAAAAAGTTATGGCCAGTCATATTCTATTTAAACCTGAAGTGACATATTTTTAAGTGTTGGAATTAAAAGAAAATCTGAAAAAAAAAAGTACAGTTGGGGTCTGTTTTTTTCTGAGACACAAATACTAATTTCTCTCTATCACCTCAACAGGGGTTTGAGAGTCTATTGGAAAAGTCATTAATCTGACAACTCCCTTCCCATGGCAGTGACCAGGAGCCACTTGTGTTTGTTTTGTTTCCAACACTGAGTTAAACCAAGCACAGGCACAGAGCACTGGCAGAGCCCGAGAGACTGGTTGTTGTTTTAATCCCAACCTTCCGCGATTTTGCATGGATAAACCCTGCTATACTCCCCTTCCTGGTTCATGGGACTGTAATTAATCATCTTTGTGTGACACCTTTCTGCTTCAACACCACTGTCAGCAGTCTGACCCTGCCATGGGCCAGTTTGGGACTCCTCTATGCATTCCTGGAGCTGTATTTACTGATGCCAGTTTTAGCCCAAAGAGCACAATCCCACTCTCCAAGCTCCTATCATATGGAGATCATCCATCCAGGATTGGTTTCCATCCCTCCTCCTGAACACTCACCTCTGCTAGGAAATAATATGGGAAATCCCTTCACTGGCATCAGCAGTTCTGTGGAGTAACTGGGCATTTAAGACATGGGTTATCTTCTACACCAGACTATGACATTTTGTCACATGTGGATCATCCTCCCTATGGTTTTCACATAAACATCACTACAAATAAGGCCCCTCTGTGCCCAGCAGCAGCAAAGAGAAGCAGACAGCTTTTGCACTGTCCAGTTTAAACAGAATAAACATTATACACAGAAATAAGACAGGGTGGGGGAGGGAGACCAGCACAAAAACTATGCTGACAATACACCCTATTGTCTGCCCATTCAGCTGGAATAAGAATTCCTTTGAAGGACAACCATGCCTTCTCCTTTGTTTGAAAAATATTTAACTCATTGCAGAAACTACAAGACACAACTAAGAAGCAATGGGTAAGGCATAAAGCCCTGCAAACTCGAGCTAAAATGAATTGAGGGACTTCAAGGGAACAGACAGAACAGCAAATTACTGTTCCTCGGGGATTATCCTTCTCAACAGCTCTGTTACTATTTGAACTATAAGAAATACATGGTGTAGCTGACAGTAAATCCTGTTTCAGTTGTAACAGCAGTGTTGCTTCCCTTCAATTTAGCCAATTCAACTGCAGTAAACCACCCCACCTTTCCACCTGTGCAACTATATTCGAAGGCCAACTATTTAGGTCAAACTTTGCATGACTCAGAGGCATAATGCAGGATTTAGTTGATGAACTTTGAGTGTCAGTGTCTCTGCACCTAAATGCCAATAAGCACTGAATTGACACACCTCTGCTGGTTCATGTTAAAGGGAAAAGAAAATGTTTGTTAATACAAAAATGTACTTAACTGAATAATGCAAAAAAGACATCCTAAGTATGTGAATTATGCTCAGGAATTAAACACGGAAATTTTGAATTTGCTTTTGTTTCACGGCTTCTGTTTTTAAAAGGTCGCTTCAGAGTTGGTTTAGTTGTTTTGTTTGGTTGGTTTGGGTTTTTGTGTTTTGTGGTTGTTTTTTAGCTTCTGAGACCAACCCAGGCTTCTGAAAACTTAAAAATTAGGCTGAGGGTTTTTCTGGGGCTTTCTTATTTTTAAGTTAAAAGCTATTCTGAAATGGCATGCCGTTATGTATCCACTACTGTAAATCATAAAGCAGCAGCCCTTGAGACATTTATCACCTTTCCCTCCTCACTGTTGCTTTTAGCACGAGCCTACATGTCTAAGGGTTGTCAAGTCTACTGAGGTCGAGAAAATAGCCTGGTCTAAGGCTGACTGACAGATCCCAGACATTACGAATTCCCAGACTTGGTTTTGGTCTGAGCAGTCATCATTATCCACAGACTTGCATTAACTGAATTGTTTTGTTCAGGAGAAAATCTCACTAACAGGTATCCCTTTTGTTAAAAGCATTAAAAAAAATGGGGAGGAAGGAAAAAAATGAGTAGACTCACTCTAGTGCAGGTCTCAGAACTCTAACTTTTAATGCTTCCAATATTCGATTTAACTCCACAAACGGTTCTTTTTGACTTTGATCTATCGATAGACCAGATTCCTGGAAAAAAAAAAAGAAGGCAGTTTTTAGTGAAAGCATGAAAAACACAGTGGGATTGATCTGTTGGTTTTCTGACAGTTTAAATATTGACCTAGAACATTCAAATAAGGAAGGTAACACAAAGCATCTTTTCCACAGTTGATAACCTTCAACACCCACGCTTATCTTTACCTGACAAAGTTCCTCAGCTACATCCAGCATTCCCTGCCGGAAGAAGTGCTCCACCATCACCTCGTTGAGGATCCTCTGGCTGTCAGCCTGCCAGCACCCATCTATGCCCACACTGCTGATGTCCGAGTCAAAGTTCTGAAACACATGAAATTATCAGTTAATGGGCTGGAACAAATCACCCCACATCATTTTTCCTTAATTATGCAGGACACCTGTCTCTCCACCCTGATGCCTTCTGCCTATTACTCAGTTGGCCCTCAATTACCTCCAAAGTGAAATGTATCTGTCAGCTGCTTCATTATCTCCTGTGTATGGAAGAACAAATCCTTTGGCTTGCTTGTTTCAAGTCTGAATACTATTCACCGCAAGGAATTACACTGGCAAATTACAAGTCTAGCTAGAAAGTTAGAAACCTAGTTAACTAACTAAACATGGCTTTCAAGCCCATGGTGGACTTCTGAAGGAAGATTTTTCTGCAGAAAAATCTTTTTCCATATGTGAAAAGTGAAAATGTACAGGGAACAGAAGACAGAATAGTGTACACCAGAATCAAGACAGCGTTATCAGTGCATCACTGTCACTGCAGCACAACAAACTGGAAGTAAAGTTTTAACTCAAGATTATTTTACCTAACTGGGGAGAGGGGAGATAGACAATGCTGAAAAAGGAAAAGGTCATTCTTCCCACCCCCAAACAACAATGAAATTCAAATCTCTGAAGACCTCAACATCCCAGCAACAGGATGAGCTTTGAAAGTCCAAGAGATCTTTTACAGCTCTAACCCAGATGATCCTACTGCTGTGTATTTTTAGGCCAGTGGCCTATGGACATATTCCAGGAATAACTAAAGATATTGCCACGGTGACTCTTTGGTAACACTTGGCACTGCTTGGCACTGTGCCTCTTGGCAGCAGGAGAGAAACATTTGTTCCAATCCAAGATATAAACCAGGATTTTAACTGCTAACATGGTCTATGATGAGGGCAGACAGGTTAACTTTAATAAAAATCCTCCTCCGTTGCCTAAAACAAAGCTGCTGCAAAATAAAAAGCCTAAAAGTAACTCCTTGTTTGCTGCCTGATTGCTCTCTATGGCTCTCTCTCAAGGGCTCTCTCCCAAGAAGGAACTTCAGAAATCAGGAGTTCAGTGAAAACAGCAGTGCTTCAGCTGCAGCTCAGTGAGGATCCACAGCCCTGCACATCACGGGAACGCCGATCTCGCACAAACACCGGGTTCTGTCACAGCAGATAACACACAGCTGGCACGAGCTGCCTTCCTGGGCACAGCTCAGCCTCACACTGCACCCTCCTTTTACTCACCACTTAATTATTTCCTTCATCAGCACCTTCACATCTCCTCTGATGTTGCTCTGTGCCACCCTGAGAAAGGGGCAGTCTTCTCATCCCTGCACACACGGCTCCAAAGCCACCACTCCCTTCAGGTCTCTCAGCAAACTTTCAGTAAAACGTTAAGTGCAGCAAATTATCTCTTCCATCTTTCTGAGATGGTGGAGCAAGATGAGCATTTGAATTATCACCACTGATTCAAGTTTCACATTTAACAATATTTTCACTTGGGTATCTTAACCTGTAAGCTCCTTGCCATGCTGCTCATCTTTAAGCTGTATCCTGAAAAACTTAAGCATTTTAAAGATTTAATAATACTGTTCTTATTCGTGCACACCACCAGAAGGTAACAAATGCATCAACAACACACTAAAGGAATATCAGGGGCAGTATTCAGAACACACAGGTTTACTTTTGGTACGTAGTTTCCAGGGTGGAGATCATCAATAATCTAAAAGTAATTGACTTTAAGCTGTATAACCCTGTAAGCAGAAACCTTATTCTTCTGGGCAGTTACCAAACATTAAAGCTGAACCCACGCCTCAAACATTGTCACATCCTCCTCGCTGCTTGGGGGCACAGGTGGTGGAGCTAATTAGCTCAGTGCCCTCACAAAATACTCATTTTCTTTTGAAACAACAAATCTTGTTGTGAACCTTTTCAAAACCCCATCATAAATCAGACTTTTAATTCTCACAGAAGGTGGTAACGAGTTGTATCAACCTGGACGTGATGCAGATTCAAATCACATGGTACAACCTGAGGAGCTCAAGTTTTTTCACTTCCCCTCAGTCACTCTCTGATCAAGCCAGTCTTGATCATGTTCTCATTCCAATAACTTTTGTGTTTTGTTTTAAACAGTTCCTGAGGTGTGTATTATATGTGGGATTCCACAGCTCTGCCACCTCTGGGCCCTGAGGAGCTTCAGGAACTGACTGCACATATTACAGTGAGTGACTGTCACATGTCAGAACAAATTACCACTTGCCTTTGGCTTCTGTATTTCATAACTGCCACGCATGGATGATCTGCTGGTGACTGCACACCCCTCAGTTTTGTTTTCTAAATGCTAACAGTATGCTAACTGACAGCACGTGGGGTTTAATAAGATTTCAAAAGTTAAAATAAATTCTGTAAGTTAAAAACTCCGGAAAGCTTAAAACCTGAAAAGCACAAAATAACCTAAGTGTCAGCTAATATTCCTGAGAAACAAACCTTTTTTTAAGAGCCTAACTAGTAAGTCTAGGGCCAAAATGTAGAAATCTTACGTGCTAAATACACCAATGAAACACCAATGGAACAACACACAACTAATAACTGCCAGAATGTGAGGACTTCAAGATGCACACAAACACAAGACGGACCATTTAAACCAACATAACAACCCTCCATGTTATTTGAAACAACACAATATGAAGAAGGATGATGATTTAGTACAGTTTTATTCCTCAGTTGAGATTACTTTGTCCATTCCTCCCTTCTGAATTCTGATCCAAAATAGAAATAAAATATTTGTTTACCTTCTCTGTTAAATCTGTTTGCACATAAAACAAAGCACAACTTGCCAAGACTTTGCATTCATTTAGTCCCATTCTTCACAGTTATATGAAGTTCAGTAAAGGTTTTCAGTCTGTTCATATACAAGTTTTTACATGAAACAAACATTAACTTAGGTGAAAGTTTGCCTTCCCAAAGCACTACTTAAAATGTTGGCCTTTTAACAGGCTTAAAATTCTGGAGGAAAAAATGAAAGGAGCTGCCATTTACTCCTCTTATTCGTAAATGAAGGCATTTAACCACTACTCAGATTGCTGCTAGAGGGAAAACATTTACCAGCCCATCAAAAAGCTTTGAGATTAATTCAAATCATTCCAGAATGATTTACAGAGAGGCTGATGAGTGAGGTACCTGATAACTTGCTGAACAGCAGTGAGTTCTGGAAGCAGAGCAAATGCTCATACAGTACAAAAAAACTGGATGCAAACAATTGCTTTCAAAGGAGAAAATGCTCTCTGGAAGAGAGGGCAACCTTTCATGGATCAGAAACATGTGATCCATGTAGAGCTACTATGAAAAAAGGTTTAGCTTATTAGATAAAGTTTCCAGGAATTACTAACCAAAAAGCAACACACAAAGCTTTGGCATTTCAGACTTCAATGTATTTGATGCCAAATTTGAACTTCATTTTGCTTAAGGGCTTCTGTTCTCAGAGTGAACTCTGCAGACAGACAAATCTAGGGCTCATCCAAGTTCACAAGCGATTACTACAATAACTTAAAACCTGACCACACTAAAGTTTATATGTAGGTATAACCCTGCCTCAATACAGGGAAAAAAGAAATTGAACCTGAAATTGCCATGAGCAGACAATACAGCAAGTTCTTCCACAATCCAGGCTTGCTAAGGAGGAAGTCTGTTGATTCCACACGCAACAACAGCTGTCATTTGGCTGTGTCACATAAAATTGGCACCAGTATTACCCTATTTCCCAATCTCAAACCAGGCAACAAAATAATGAGTTACATTTATCTGTGCCTGAGCACGCACAGCTAGGGAGACCACAAGCAGTGTTCTGGAGATGTTAATCTGTCTATAAAATAAGTTTGAAACATAAGTCAAATCTCATGAATCAAGGCGAGGGCCGTGCTTGTTTATATTCTAATGAGTGTTTTATTTTGGAAGCAGCAGTATTTTGTCCAAAAATGTGTTGAGAATCAATTCACTACATCAATTACACTTAATTACTTCTATTGGTTTAAGCTTAAGCATATTATGGTGAAGGGATGGGGGAGGGCAATTCCAGTAGGTTATGGGACTCAGGTGCCAACAAAGACTTTGCTGGCAGGTTTCAAACATATTTTCCAGCAGCACAGGGAAACTGCATTAACTACATATGGAAGCTTTCCTTCAAATGTCACTGTTCAGGGAAACGCTGAATTCCACCTGGATTTAAACATTTCACGTATTCATTGGAGAAACAGGCCAATACACATTCTAAAGTACTTCCCTTACTAGCAGTTGGGGAAAACTAACAATATTCAAACTGCTTGCACTAAAAAGAAAAGCTCAACCAAGTTCATATTTAAGGAGACAATCCTAACTTGTGCTCTGAACTTCATAAAACTGCATCCTTCATGACAAGCAGAACTGGGGACTCCTGCAGTTCCCACTGCTTCCAATCTTTTGATGCAAACACCACAGACACCGAGATTGAAAATCCAGAGGAAGAAGCACACTGAATACAGCAAGTTGAGCTCATTTTTTAAGCAGCCCTTCTGACACTCAACAGGCTCAGAGCAGGAAAGGATTATTCAGATCCTTTCTATTGTTTCACAAAACCACACACTCGAAACTTAAAAAATTATTTTATTTACATCTATCCCTTTTCAAATATAAATAGTAAATAAACTTAAACAAGCAGGACAGAAATAATACTGGAAAAACTCTATTTCCATGAAAACTAAAACAGCAATTTGGAGATTAGACTCAAGCCTAAACTTCTTTAAGCTTGCAAGTGTTGGGGTTTTTTTTGGCTTGTAAGAAATACTACCACCAATTTCCACTGAACATTCACACCCTCTATATATGACCTGAGGCTGTTCTACCTCAGAGGATTTAAATGAAGAAGGTCTGGCCAAACCCGAGAGCGTATTTGTACAAAGTCCACTTGCTAAAGCAGAATAGGAAAGTTTAAAACTTAGGACAAGATTACATAGATTTATTTCAGGCTTCAAGCTGGTAATAAGGATGGAATTTTACTCTAGTTAATTGGTTTAGGTACAGCAGCAAGGATTTGAGACAGATGCATCCTTAAGCTTTGGATAAGTGGCGTGTGGATTAAAGCCATTACTACAAAGTTTGAGCTCTCCATGATGGTCAGCTGTACATATAAACAAAAAATACAACAGTTTCATGGACAATCTGCCCAATAACGCAGCATTAAGTACTTTGTTCCTTCATCACACTATTGTAACATTGTGCTTTAACAGATTATCATTACTAACAAAGCTTAAATGAGATTCCCAAAGGATAAATCAGTATCGGGTAATGCTGCAAATGTCTTTGTACAGGTGAAAAGATTAATTTACAGGATCTTCCTTAATAAGATTATAAGGTGCACCTCAAACCAAATGTTTAGATCCTGTCAACAGAGGCATGTTCTGATGTGAAACTATCACAAGAATGTCCAAAAAAGACTCCCTGAATACAGGGAGCCTCTAAAGCACAAGACTCCCTGAATACAGAAAAGAACACAGACGGAGAAAAGCATGGCCTGAAAGTATACATATAGCACCACTTTAGTATCATTTCAAAGAATTGTTAATATCTACCTACAAAAATATTCAGATCCCAGTTATTCTTGAACCTGGAATTCATCTCAGAACATCTCATATGCAAAGCTCCAAAGATAAGATTTGTTATGGCATAGACACGCTGACTACAAGATGTTGAATCTACTCTACTCACATTAAGGCTGTGTTATAAAATTAAGCCCCAAAACCAACAACACCTCTGAAATATGTACAAACTGCCTTTCTTAAAAAATTCTCTTATCTTACAGAATCACAGAATGGTTTGGGTTGGAAGGAACTTTAAAGATCACCTCATTCCAACTCCCTGCCATGGGCAGGGACACCTCCCACTAGACCAGGTTGGCCCAAGCCCAGTCCAACTTGACCTTGAACACTTCCAGGTATGGGACAGCCACTTGTCCTGCTTTCCAGAACAAAATGCCACTTCTGAGTTACCTGCTACTGACAATTAAGTAAACATTATATATATAAACCACAGTATTTCTTACCGAGACAGATACTGAAACAAACATCCTGCTAAACCAATAAAACACAAAACATACTAAGTCTTGTAGTATCAATAGGGAGTCTTCTCTCAGAAATTAGGAGATCTGAGCTGCCCCAGAAGGAATAATCTGTGTGCAGTGAGTTCTGAAAGCAAGTACTGTACAGCCCCCTGAATCACCTCTGCTTCTGTAGTTCTCAGGATGATTTAGTTAAGATTGACTGTAGCACAAATCCAGATTTTCTAAAGCAGAGCACACACCACAGAACTAATGCTATAATACAATCAAACCACAAAATAAATACCTTATCAATGGCTTTTCCAACTCGGGATACACTGCTGTGAATGTCCTTATGATCGGAGGCCAGTTTTTGGACTGTGTCTTTTATTCTTTTACAACACTGTGTCATAACAAGTGAAATCGTCCCTGACAAGTCTCCATCTTGATCTAGACAAAAGAGAGGAAAATTACTCACTTTGCTACAGACAAATGGTAACATCCAATCTCTTAATATGCCACATATAAAGACAAAAAGTGGTATTAAAAGAAAGAAATGCAATCCAGGGAGTATTTGCAAAGCAAGATCAGTGTAAAAGGAGGCAGAAAGACAGGAATTCACCTGTTGTGAAAACTCACCTGGGGAATTAGGAATCCAGCTGGGTGTACAGTAACAGTGAACAAGGGCAACAGTTTAAAAAATTAATGTAAAGTTCTCGTGTGTCTCAGTCACAGTATACAAATAAACATCTCAAAGAAACACCCAATCCACAAATGTCTCAGGGAATAACAGAATAACAGAAAGCTGCTGAAGCTACTACAGGATCAGTTCTCTTTCAGACTGACCCTGAAAGTACACGAGAACATCACCTTTAACTACAACAAGGTGAAAGCAAAATGTGGATTAATCAGAGTGCAGTTAATTCCCACCCCACAAACCACCCACTTCTATTGGACTCTGTGTTTGAGCTGTATCAAACTTCTGCTTCCTGACTCGTGGAAACACCTCTGGAAGTTCAGCCAACCAGCCTCCAGTTCCCCTCTACAGATAAGAAGCAGCCCATGAAGGACCAGTGGACATTGTTATGAGATTTATTCTCTAGGAACTGTGACATTTTTAGCTGATGTCCAACAACCCATTCTGTGAACAAAATAATGAACAGGGAAGGTTTACAAGCCCCATCACAGCACTTCACAGTTTACACCCTCTATGCCTCTCATCAAACATCGCTCAGGAGCTTTAGTCAGGGGAAAAAAAAAAATCATTTTTCAGTGCTTTACCACAGTCCTTTCTTCCTGCTTTTGATTCAAAAATACAAAGAGAATTTTACCTCTGAAGGTCTCTCCTTCCACAAAGTTCATTCTAAATGAAGAGTTTTTTCCTTTAGCGACACAGACACAGCAGCCTTCAGCTGCAGGAAGGCTACTTTAAGTGGGAGAGAAGCCCAGAAATGCCTCCCCGGTATTCTGGGCCCAAAGCCCTCATGTGCAAAAACCAAAGTCATCGAAATATCTCTTTAGAAGGAGGATTTTATGGAAAATGTGTTTGCTTTTTAAGTTTGTTCGGTTTTGATTTCATATTTTAACACATTTTTTTGTTTCAGCAGTGCATTAAGAGCACAGTTTCTGGAGACAGCAAAGGAAATCCAGAAAAAACTGTGATCACAGATAATGATTCCCCAGACACTTTTTCTAGATACCTTCCCCTCTGTTGTTGCACACTGAACTATCTCACCTCACCTCTAACCAAGCAAACAGCTCCTGTCCAGCCCCACAATCCCCAGCTGAGGAAGCTTCAGCAGCGTTTTTGCAACAGCCACAGCTTTTAAGAAAGAAAAAAGCTTTAACTCCCTCCACTCCCATGAAGCCAAGGATCACCTCCTGGGCAAATGGCTATTTTTTTTTCTAGTGGATGAGTGAAGAGTAATAAGGATTGAAACAGTCAATTCTGTGACTCTGTGCATCCTGAATTAAAAATGAAAAATTCACTCAACTATTACATGGAGTTCACCTCCTAAAATTATTTTAAGAATAATCCCTATTCCTCAGTTGCTGTTTAATTTTTATGACAGACATGTAAAATCACATGAAGGATCTTTAACTATCTCGTGGCTTTTGCCACCACAAAATGATCAGCCAGAGATTACACAACACGCAAAATGGAAACACTCATTCTGCAATGAACAGAGAAGCTAAAATACACTTCTGGAGTTTTTTGCAAGAAGAGCCATTAAGCTAAAACCCAAACAACTCACTGCTTTTAGGCCAAGCAAATAAGTGAATTACTGGCCCCTGACACTTACTGCAGCAGAAACCAACTCCTGTAAATCAATGAAAATGTCTACACAGGAAAAGTCATCAGAGCTGTAAAAGGTTTCCCCTCTGCACCCCTCTCTTCCAGCTTCAACCAAACTACGAGCTGCTTGTAAAAAATCAGCAGGAGAAAGCCTGGAACCACCGCTCCTGGTATTTCGGGATTCACAGGACACCACAGCCCTGCACGTACAGTCACAATTAAAAAAAGAAATAAATACACTGGCCAACAGACACTGGGCACAAAGCAGAGTCCAAAGCCAAGTTTACTCAGCCAGACACATTTATACCATCCAGGAACGTGCAGCCCTGCCTTGGCGGCTCCAGAAAGACAGATGTATGAGGGGAAGGGAGAAGAAAAACAAACTTTGCCTTCCCACTCACAGGACTGAGCACAGATAGGGCTGGTCTGTCCTCAGGCTTTAACATGAAAAAAGACATTTTAAGGGACTGGAGGGGGGAGGGAACCCCACAGTTTAGAGGTTAAAGCAGATTCTAATGGTTTCTTTGTCCCCACCCACTTCCTTTTTATATCCACTGTCTATTTAAGGTCTTTTCATGCATCTTTGCTCTCAGATCTTGTCCTACAGCATTAACTTCTTCTTCAGCAGTGAGGGTTTTCATTTCTCTTCCTTTTTTCCTTTAAAATTGCATACTAAAGCATATTTCTGCAGTCCATACCCCTAAATTAGAGCTCCACATTGAGATATCTGGCTGTTTTCAACACTACCAATTTTCAAAAATCCTCAGGACACAGCGTATAAAAGCTGCAAATACCTGTTCTTGTTAGAAAGTTATAAATAACATGTTAAAGGAAAAAAAAAACAAACCCAAGAAGAATTTTGCCACCTACAAAGCCAGCTCACCCTCAGATGCCAAAATTGAAGAGTCCCCAGATGTTTAAGGGTGCACTAATAACATATTGGCTTCATTCTACTAAAAGAAAGCTCAGTTTGCAATGTGCTCTCTGGGACAGCATCATCACTTGGTTAAGTGCTGAAAGTATTTCCAGGGCCTTCACTGGACAGCCCCAGAAACTGCTAATCCAAGCCTGGATGGAAAACACAACAAGGACCCGGAAGGAATCACACACTGGAACCTTTTAATTTTATCACAACGTGAGTAAAAGCTCTGGACCTGCAATGGGATTCTCACAGACAAACCTTTACAGCCCAACAAAGGCCAATACAAGTGCGAGGGTCACACCACGACCATTCCAGGCCAGGTCAGGTTGTGAAGACACACATTTTATTGACTGTCCTCAATGCCCAAGCCCAGACTGTTTCAAACAGCACAAACAACAGTTTGAAACACAGTTCAAAACAATGTCAGAAAGACCAAACTTTTTTTCATCCCAAACAAATGCCTTGGAATCAGAATTCCATGTTTGCTGTCCATAGAAACTGCTGTGTACACACAGAGCAGCTCCAGCACACTCCTACTGGAGTTCCTGGAATTATCCACACTCCTGACTGAGCTTTGCACCTGTATTTGCACAAGAACCACAGCAAACATGTTTCCTTTGAACCAAACAAAAGCAAAAAGAAGAGCAGCAGCACATTTGCTCTCAAGTTTGGGCTCAGGAGCCTGTAAGTTCCTATTTTTAATCCTCGGCTTCCTGCGTGGTCCTGGGTAAATCACTTCAGCTGCCTCTCCACTCCCTCCCACTCCATCAACAAAACAGGGCACTGCCTCCACCTCTGGGATTTCACAACCTTTACATGTCCTGTGTTTACAGCCCCAGCAAGTGCCCAACACCAGCTGACACGCGGACAGGGCCGGTGTTTACTCCCTGCTGTGTGCTGTGGCTTTACCCTAAACACCGCCAAACCCTCCCCCCCAAGCAAAGGAACACAACTTAGGGGACATAGGAAAAGAGAAAGAAAAAAGAAAATAAAATAAATACGAGTGAGAAAAAAAAAAAAAAAGCAAACAGGTCAGGCCGGCCCTGTGTTTCCCCCGGGGTGACCAACCCCTTTGTCACCCAACATCAAGGGTTATGAACACCCTCACTAGGGTCACGCCAGACCTGCTGACCGGGAACAAACGAACCTCTTGGGCAGCACAGACAAGGCAGGGAAGGCCTGGAAGGGCCGAGACCCATCACAGAATCAGACAGAATATGCTGAGTTGGAAGGAACCCCCAAGAATCCTCGAGTCCAACCCTTAGCCCTGGACAGGACCATCCCCAAGAGTCACACCGTGTGCCTGAGAGCAGCATGCCAATCCTTCTTGAACTCTGGCTGACTTGGTGCTGTGACCACTTCCCTGGGGAGCCTGTTCCAGCACCCAACCACCCTCTGGGTGAAGAACCTTTTCCCAATACCCAACCCAAACCTCCCCCACTCCCACTTTTTAACTTTTCCATGTCAGAAAAGCCCCAAATCTCCGTGGGGTGGTCCTGGCTCAGCCCCCGCAGCACAGAACCCTCGGGGCAGGGGCTCTCCCTGGAAGGGTCCCCACCCCACAGAGCCCGAAGTTTTGGGGCCACAACACCCAAAATTTTGGGGGTTCCCCCCCGGGGGAGGCGCAGGGGAAGGAAGGAGGGATGCGGGGGAGGGGTCTCTCCACGTACTCTCTGTCTGCAGGATCTCCCTGCGCAGCCCTCCCGCGTACTGGATCAGCTCCTCCAGGCTGCGCTCGCAGAGCTGCCCGTATCCCGAGAACTTCTGTAGCACCTTCTCCAGCTCCCTCTCCACCGTCACGCACTGGTCCATCGCGTCCGGGCCGCGCTCCCGCTGCTGCTGCTCCTGCTGTTCCTCCTCCTCTTCCTCCTCCTGGTCGTGCTGCCCGTCCCGCCGCCCCCCGGCCGGGCCCCCCGGGCCCCCCGCCAGCGCCGGCCCCGGCCCTGGGCGGCCCCGGCCGCACTTCCACACAGGCACCACCGCGGGCACGCCGGGACCTCGCGCCGCTTCGCGCAGGCAGCGCCGCGGACACCCCGCCCCGGAACCTCCGCCGAACCTCCGGAGGGTTGTTGTTGTCTTTTTTTTTCAGTCAGGCGGCGCCGCGGACAGCCCCCGCTCTGTGCCCGCCGCTGCTCCCGGTGTTCCTAGTGGGATCAAGAAGCGCTTCCTCGTCGGCGGCGCGTGGGGAGTTAACCCGGGGAGCGGGGATGGCGGGGGTGCGGTGGGTCAGGCAGCGCGGCGGGCAGCCCGGCGCGGGGGCCTCAGGGGCGGCGTTGCCATGGCGACGGCAAGGCCTGAGGGGGCGCCGGGCCTGGGGAGGCCTCGGCGGCTCCTCCGGGTTCTGCGATCGGGCTGAGCCACCCCTGGGGCCTGGGAGCGGCCCCTCCGGGTCTGTCTCGCCCGGGGCCGGGGAGCGGCTCAGGGCCGTGCGGTGGTGCAGTGTCAGCGCTGAGGTGACCCCCCCCGGGGTAGAGAGGGTTCGCTCCCAGCCAGGCTGCGAGGAGCGCGTCTCGCCTCAGACATCGCACAAGTGACACCGAGCAGCGGCTCTAAACAACGCCAGGAAACGCGCCGTGCCGGAAGCGAAGCGTTTAGCCCGTCGTCGGCTTGTTAATTGGTCGGTAAACTTCCGGGCGGTAAAGTTTTTGTGTTGAGTTAAAGGCTGAAGTGGTGTATTGGACTGGCGGCGGCTTGTGAAAAAATGTGCTCAAGGAGATGTCTGAGCTTGGACTCCACCTGGTGAATGCCAGCTCCAGAGGATGCCACCAAGTTGATCGGAAGGATACAGCACCTCTCCTGTGGGGAAAGGCTGAGGGAACTGGGATTGTCCAGCCTGGAAACGAGAAGGCTCTGGGGAAAAATTTCACCCTTCCAGCACCTGAAGGGAACTTACAGCAAAGATGGGGAAAGACTATTTACAAGGGCATGTAATGACAGGACAGGGAGCAATGGCTTCAAACTGAAAGGAGATTTAGATTAGATATGAGGAAGAAATTCTTCCCTGTGAGGGTGGTGAGGCCCTGGCACAGGCTGCCCAGAGAAGCTGTAGCTGCCCCATCCCTGGAAGTGTTGGTTAGAAGGCCAGGTTGGATGGAGCTTTGAGCAACCTGGGATAGTGGAAGGTGTCCCTGCCCATGGCAGGGGGTTGGAACTGGATGGGTTTTAATCACAAATTATGTTTAAACACATCACACGTCTTCTGGTTTCATAGGTCAGCACAGTCGTTGAGTTTGTGAAGTTCTGTGGGCTCCTTGTTCATCTCAGCACACTCAAGCAAGGTCTCCTTGTTTATTTATTTGTTAACATTAAACAGAGCTCTATCTTCTCCAGGGGGCAACAAATCGTTTTTCCCTATTACAAAAACAGAAAATTTGAACTGCCTAGGGAAAAAAATTGTCTTTATTTGAAGCTTTAATTAATCTATTCTGCTCCTGAAAGTTGTTTTGTCCTTGAATGGTGTCTGTTTGTGTGCAGTTAATCACTCCGTGTTTATGGGCAAATCAAATTGCCACAAGGGGTGACCACGAGGTGCAGCTGCGACTGTAAAAAGCCCCTGAGCACCTGCTGGGGTGTCGCAGCTGACCCTGAGCGGGGGGGTTGGGCTTCAAAACCTCCCCGAATTCCTGCGTGAAGCACCGCCAGGTCACCGGGATCGCCTCACCCGAACGGCAGGGGGTGGGACTGGGTGAGTGGGCGTTAAGATCCCGCCCAACCCAAACCTCTCCATGATTGAACATCCAGCGCCTTGGCTGAGGTGTCGGTGCTGGTCACCGTGTCACAGAGTCACCCTGTGTTAAATCTTTGGCCACTTGTACCTAGTAGGAAACATCTTCTGATTTAAAATTCCTCTGCCTACAACACAGTAGTGTCTGGGCTGCTGCTGTCTTGCTTGGAGACTCACATAGGCTTGTTGGTTTATTTAATAGCAGGCAATGACAGGGAGTCACAGTTTCATATCACACATAAAAACGTGTTGGGATGCGCCCGTGTTGATCAAGAGGCACCTCAAGAGATTGTGTCAGTGAGCTCCTAAAAATTCATAGAATCAGGATATCCTGAGTTGGAAGGGACCCACCAGGATAATCGAGGTCCAAACCCTATCATTGAAGTAAATTGTATTTACAGAGTTGGCTCTTAGAAAAACTGGGTTTCAGGTCATTTAAATGTTAGTTTGCTGAACTACATCTTGATAAACTCAAAAAAATTAAGACAAAAAAGGTATAATATTTTAACGTGGTAAAGGATCAAATTAAGATTTTAAATCCTTGGTTTTACTGACTTCGAAATGTTCCCTGTGGAGTCTGGAAAGTAGATTATTGTCTGTATTCCCAGGCTGCACAGTCAGCAACTGCTCTTAGGAGAGGGTGGGGGAGGAGAGGGAATCCTTGCCATTTATCAAGGGGCAGCAGATAAAAAGACTACAGGTTTGGCTGTCTGACAAGGGAAAGTGGCTGTCCCAGTTCTCAGGATTTGGGCTTGTTTGCTTGTAATCATAGTAAAAATACTTTTGCTGCCAAAAATATTTAAAACCAGATCCCTGTTTTGGGTTTTTGTTTAAAGGTGGAATTTATGTTCTCCATTAGCTTCACATTTGTAACATTTGCTCTGTGATCATACAATTGACTGAGTGATGACTGTTTAATGCTGTTAATTAGTAGTGTTAACCCTGGGGTCTTTAAAAGTCACTGTGTGTCATCTTTGTGTTCAGCCCAAATGAATTTTAAGTCACTGTTAAAATATTTAGATTTTCCAGATAATTAAAACTCCCTGAAAGATTGTTTGCAGGTGACACGTGAAAGACATTCTGAGTTGTAACTGGAAACCAAATATCTAGAAAACAGCACATTTTCTGGTAGGGTCAGCTTAAAGCATCAGGGATGGAAAGGTGAGGAGGGAAAGGAGCACCAGAGAGCCTGGGAGAGGCACCGGATCCCTTTGGCTTTGCTCTGCCATGCCTTTGGTGAACTCATCACCTGCAATTCTTGCTCCTCCTTTGCAGCTCTGCCCTGGCCCATCCTGTCACCCAGGTGCTTCTCTGTTGGCAGCTGCTTTGTTTTGGGTGGTTCTGGGGGGTTTCGAGTAGAGGCCTGAAACATTATTTTTACTTTCCTGAAACGACTCCGAGGTTTTGAGTTCTGGCAGATGATTGGCTTGGTCTCTGCAGGGGCCTCGTCAGCAGTTACCACTGGGGAATGTTGCTGATGGATTTCGCTCAGCCCGTGAGCGCTGGGAAGTGACACACCGGTGACAGCCTCCCCAGCAGGCGGTGCTGCAAATAGTTCAGCTGTAATTGTTGTGAGGTACCTTCCTGGTGCCTTCCTGCCGGGGGAAGCAAGAGCATCCCCGAAGGAGTTACAGGGGAGAGAAACACAGGGATTGGGTATAGACCGGTCTGTGGGGCTCTTGAGAAACAAACCAACAAACAATGTTTTCTAACTAAAATATACAAAGTTCCTTTTCAAATATGCAACTCCCACCCATCATTCACACTGGTGGGAGCCACTTCGCTGCTCACTTGAAACAAAAGGTAGAGAAATCAGGCAACTTCTTGAAGGTGTGACCAAAGCAATGGGCCTTCACAAAGCTTTTGAAAAAGAACCGTGTTCCTGGAGCAGCTCAGGGCTCAGAGCCTGCCTGGGGCCCTCTAAGTGTGTGTTTTATTGACTGTGCCCCGGCTCCACCAGCTGCAGGGACAAAGTCACTCCCTTGTATTTTGCCTCTAGAGAAGGATTCATCTTATTGATGCTTTGCCACCTGCTCATCAGGGAATGGGCCCTGGCTTTTGCAGGGAGAGCTTCTCAAGCTGCAGTGGCTGTGGAGGAGAGAGCAGCACCTCACCTGGACTTGCCTCCAGTACCTTCCCTCCCAGCTGGACCTGCCACTTGAGGCTCGCTGCAACCCCAGCAGAGCTGCTGAAATCCCTTTGCATTTGCTTGAGCAGCGCCAGCAGGGACGGGGTTTGCAGCCCACTTTTATCTTTTCCACACAAAAAGGCTGAACAATAAAGTTGTATGTGACTCCCGGTGTGAGGCACACCATTTACCAGCCCATAAGGGCTGTTTGTGAGGAACTATGTCTGCAATCCTTCCACTCTTCCCCTTTCAGGAGCCAAAATGAGCCCATTCCTGAAGAACATACAGTCGTGATTTTTCTTCTTGAAGAGGCTGTGGTGGCTCCCTGACAAAACAGGCTAAACCTGGGTTGTTTTTTTTTCCTTTTTAAATCACATCAGCACACTGAGAACCCTGTAAATGTGTTTTAAAGGCTCTGAGGGGCACAGCGGTTTAAATGCTTTTTCCAGATCAATATTAGCATGCCTTTCTGAAAATTGATAGTACAGAATTACAGCGCGTACACTCTGGAGGGTTTGTCAGTATTTTTAAAATTAAGCTGTGCTATTTCTGTGCTCATCTCTATGAGCTGCCAATTTTCATGCAAATTATGGATTCTTAAAATAACTAAACATACAAAAGCAATGTTGAGTTTCCTTCAGAGGAGAGCCTTCATGTCAACGCAGCAGCTTGATTTTAGTATGTTTTTTGTAGCAGGCTAAATTGTATCTTTGCAGCCCAACGCTCCGTGTACAGCCTGGGATGGTTCTTTCTGGATCCACTTAAACGGGGATCCAGACTGTGCCCAAAACGCTTCCCATGTGAGCACAGACCCAACTTAGAGCCGTGTCAGAAGTCGCAGTGGTGCTCGCAGGTTGCATCTGGCTTTGGCACAAGTTCCCAGCGCCAATGCAAAGCTGCGGAGTCCGAGTTCCGACCCGTGCAGATGGAGCTCGCTGTGGAATTTGGTTTCGCGCCAGCCAAGGGCTGGGAGCAGGGTTGGGAGCAAGCCTAGCCTGCGGGAATGAGGAGTGGAGGGATCATCCCTACACCCAGCAGCCCGAATCCAAATAA